TGAATGAGATGTGATTGTGGTTCTTCACACATATGACCAGGGATGAGACGACCCTTGCGTAAGTGATGCTACAAGGACCGCGCCACCCTGGCATAGTGTGGGATGAGTGAGGCATCGGGAGCAAGAAGTCGTGCCTGACAAGAAGCCTTCTGAAAGCCCCTCTTATGCTCCGCCACGACGGAGCGCTCCACCTCGGCGAGCCGTCCTTCCACGGCCGCCTTCCCCGCTGCCCCCTCTCCAAGCTCTACTCTCAGCGCAGCAATCTCATCCTCTCGACCGCCCAGAATGGCCTCATTGCGGAGACGGCCGAGAGGATGAGATTGTTGCGCTGTATCTATCCCCTTCCCAAAGCGATGGGACAAATATTGGGTCCGGACAGGCCCCTGCGATGAGCCCGCCTGCGGCGCCAAACCCGCGGCAGAGGATGGCCCTCCCTGCTCAGCACCTAGAGAGTCCACCTTAGGGACTCCCGACTCCGCCTGCAAAAACCAGTCCCGCATCACAAATAGATAAGGAGACATGCGAGAAAGCCATGAAAACAAAAAACAAAAAAACCAGACTCACCCCAGCAGCCTGGGAAGCCAGCCCGGAAGCCTGCACCTCAGGCTCAGCGACTTTCCCCGCCTGCAGCTCAGGCCCAGAGGCATTTCCTGCCTACAAAAAAATCACCCAGATCAAACAGCCAGACAACATAACAAAAAGGCAGAGTGAAAAGTCCGAGAAGACCATACTTACCACCTTGGCAACTCAGACGGTCTGCCCGCAAACGCAGACCTCCACCTCAGCAACGCCAACCCCGCCCTGCAAAGGGATCCATAACGCCTCAAAAAACAAAGACGGAACTCACACGGAAAATGCGAGTAAATGATAAGCTACTCACCTCGGCGTCCGGTGCAGTAAGCCTGACACCTGGCACCACCTCCGCCGTAGCCACCGGCGAGGCCTCCTTGGCCGGAGGGCTGTCGGTGAGATCCACAGCGTCCACAACCCGGGAGGTCGCCTCCTCGGCATCGCGAGAAGCGGAGGTCCCCCCGACCTCCTCCTCCCCCCTCTTCCTCTTCCGGTGGGTCTTCAGGGGGGCAGCATCCTCCTCTGGAGGCTCGGGAACCTCGAGCTCGGAAACATTGTAGCGGTGTTTAAGCTAACGCCACAAGTTTCTGCCCATAATGCCTGCAGAAAAGAAACAGAAACACATCAATAACGGGCAACCACACAAGTCCTAATAACCTACCAGAGCACATAATACTCACTCTCTAGGCCCCTCTCCCTGAAAGGCGAATTCGCAAGCGACAAGACGAGCTTGCAATCCAACGGACGAGGGAGCGCGGCAAGATTCTTGATGGCGGCCGTCTCCGCGGCCGTCACCTTCAGATCCCCCAAACCGTGAAACCTGGACGGCTTGGGACACCAATAGAATGGAAACCTCGGCAAACCGCCGAAGTAGAACACCTCGTCTTCCAAAGGGTCAACACCCACAAGGGCGACCCGGAAAAACTCCTGCTTGAAATTTTTATACGATTGGGAGTAGGGAGTAAACAAGCCCCCATCCCTACTCCCGCTCAGGGACAAAATGCCATAAGGCGGAACGCCCATCTTCAACTGATAAAAATGAAGAAAGACGCGAAGAGACACCTCTATACCTAGAACTGTACACAGGACCTGAAAAGCCCTCAAAAAACCCCAACTATTGGGATGCAACTGGCAAGGAGCCGCGTTGATGAAATTCAAAAAATCGCACTCAAACTGGGTAAAAGGAAGACAGACACCCAAATCCCTAAAAAAGCATTGATATACATAGAAATGAGGGGGATCAGTAGACCTCCCCATATACACGCCCTCATCAGCCTGACAGGGCTCAAGCCGAATCATGTGGGAAATGGAGGAATCGCAAACCCTGTGCGCTCTCCGAAACGCATTCACTTCGAGGAAAGAGCGAAAAATGCTCTGAGCCTCAGCCACCTCGCGTTTGACCCAGTCGTAACCAGGAACACCTGGCTCTGGGCCCCTAGGTGGCGGCAGGTCTTTCTCCTCAACAGTGACCCTTCCGGCGGCCACCACCTTGCCACGCGCCTTGCCCCTGGCAGACGCAGAGGATTCGGCACCACTTCCACCGACCATGACAAAAGAGCAGAAGCAAATAAAAAGGAAGTCCCTGGTACTCCTCCTCAGAAAACACCCCTAACAAAGAAGGGACTACCGGAAACGACGACGACGACGGAAGCGCAAAAGAGAAAGGAGGTAAAGGGAAGCAAGATACTCGAGAAGTCGGAAGAAAGACAGAGAAGAGGCGCGAGTGGAAGAAAAGGAAAAACTCTCCCCCAAAATTCAAAACCGACGCGACACGTGTCAGCTGAAAAGCACAACTGACAACACATTTATTGCGAAATCATCATTACACAACCGTCACTGCCCTTATTGCGTCACTCAAACGTCTCCAGAACACTAATAGTCGCGACACGTGGCAGACCTCCAGTTAGCGTACACGCAAAGCCATTTTCCCCTCTAGCAAACCTGGTCTCAACTCCTCGACCTACGGCCTTCAGAGCTCGGGGGGCTAGTGTACTAACCATACTTTGCACCCGGGCTCCTAGCTCGGATTAGCGTTGCAAATAACTAACCCCGGGCACGCAGTGCATGACGTCAGCCCGGCATTTGAGCGAATCATACCTGATTCCAAGGATCTCGTCCCAGACCAGATCCGCCCTTCAATTATATCATATCATATCATGATATATCTTATCTCAAGCCCAAAAGCCCAAGGCAAACCTATTATATATATGAGACTATTACTCATGCAAACCCTAACTTTAGCATCGGAGTCTCTTTTGCAGGTACCTCCCCCATCTCGGAGCACCAATACACCCAACAAAGGAGGCTCACCAATCTTACTGGACGGATCACTCCCACGACCAAATTCCGGTAAGAACATAAATAATAGCTAATTTTTAAATATTTAATAATTTTAAAAATTAATATTAGGTAATATTTAATGATTTTAAAATATTTTTAAATATTAAATAATTAAAAGAATGAAGAGATAAGAGATAAGATAAAATATATAAGTGAAATAAGAAAAACAAATATGAAGAATTTTTCAAATTCTTACTTTTTTGAGAGAATTTGAAATTCTACTATTTCAAAAAATTTCACAAATACTTGAATTTCAAATTCCTTATAAATTCTCCATCCAAACAAGGTATTTTACCTCAAAGAATTTGAAATTCTTCAAATAAATGAATTACTTCATTTAAATTTCCCATCCAAACACACTATTAAGTTATATAACAATACATTTGTACTTTTCAAACTAATACATGTATTATTCTGGGAAAACTTTCTAAAGACAACTTTTATTACATACTTCTAAAAAATATTTTCTAAAATAATACACATTATTTTAGAAATAATTTTTTGAAAATGTTTTAAAAATTATAGTACACAATTCTGAAAATTACTTTTCAATAATAATAAAAAAAAATATTTTTCCTAATTAATCATTTATCGAAGAATCAACAAGATCGTAAATTTTAAAAATCAATGATAACATCTTAAAAAGTTCACAAATTTCTTTCTTTTTTTTAAATATCTAATTACCAAAGACGTCAATTCTTCTACCATACAAGGCATATTAAATACATCATAAAAGATTATTGATGGAAATTGTAGTTTCGTACTTTGCATTCAATGTATGAAATAATGAAAATGAAATGAACAAATAAATTTTAAAAAATTGATGAAGTTAAAGGTGCATAAACTAGGATTTGTAAAATGATAAAGACAAGGTCTAATAGTTGAAAATGGAAATCAAAAAAGAAAAACAAAATTAATGATAAGTGATTAGAAAGAGATAAGTAACATAAGAAGAGACGCAAGAGATCTAAAGAAAAGAGGTCAACCAAGAAGATAATTTCTAAAAAATATATAACAAATTAAAAAGTATTTAAGAAATTTTTGAAGAAAAAAAAGACACATTTATTAAAATCAAGTATGAAAAGAAGCAATCTTTTATTTTTAATTAAATGGTGAGTAGTTTTTCTTTTTTTCTTTTTGTAATGTATGGTTATTTTTAAAAAATAAAATTAGAATCTAATTGTGGACATGTAACTCTCCTTTATTTCATTTGCCTTGATGCGATTAACAAACACCGGCTTTTCTTTTGGAAATGAGCCCAAATCCCCCAACGAGGAGTCGAAAACAAATTCTAAAAGAAAACCTTCCCGAGCATCCATTCTATTACGTTTTTTTTTATTTCAATAAAACTATGGACAGGGGGCAGTACAATAAAAAACAAATATACTGGCCCTCAAACATTCCCCACCACAAATAAATAAGAATTAATCACCTATACACTGTCAGTGTAAAATTTTTTCACAATAACAACTAATTATATCTTTTAGTTATGTCATATCATTATAAACATTTATTTTTAACAATAGCATAACACAATTAAAAAATATAATTAATTATCAGAATAAAAAAACTTTACACTGACAGTATATAAATAATTAACTCAATAAATAAATTCAACTAATAACAAAGTATAAAATTTTAATCTATATATTTAAACAAAAAGCATGCTTATTACTTAAATTTTGTTTTTTCCTACGACTTTTAACATTTATTTAATGTATTGTTAAATTTCAAATGCGTCAAATGTATTCTTAATTTGAAGAAGAAAATGAGATTGCAAGAATATGAGATGGCTAGCGGAGCATAGGATTAAGTGGAAGTGTTCAAGTAAAGCTACGTTGGGAATTTATGCAGGCCAAAAGTATTGGGCTAACCAGTGCCTCTCAAGCAACTAAATATACCCATCCATCCCTCAAAACTCACAGGATACGCAACTAGGTCAGCAGCTAAAAGAGTCAAAAGGACTCATGACAGTTCAGGTTCAGTCAAAAAGGACAACATTCATAATTGTCGACAATATCTCAGCCTCTTCTAACGGTTACATGCACCTACCACTCCTGCTTTTCGCAAAGGTGCTCCGAGATGTGTCTCAAATCAGAATTATAAAAGAAATCAAAAGAAAAGGATGGAGCCAACGTGAAAAGAAAGGAAAAATAGACGATGCCACCTAAATCTAGCCAACTTCAATGCCCACATTAAGGCAACATTGTGGAAACTAGAGCCTCGTAAATAAAGCAGTGGCAAGCAAGTTTGAACAGGCAGCGATGGCAACAAAATCTAGCCAATATTGTCGAAACCAGAGCCTCGTAAATAAGCAGTGGCAAGTTCAGCAGACTTGGTTGTTGCAACACAAATTCAACATCTAGCAGCTTCAAAGTGAAGATCTTTTGGCCATATTATAAACTACTGCAGTCATCGGAATGATGCCTCTATTTTCATTTTGTCATGAAGGGTCACCACCAAGTTATGGGCATCATCCAGCAGCTTCCAAACATCAAGGTGTCCTGCCATGCCATTACATTCCTTAATGATCTCGTCCATGCTGCTATACTTCTCAATAATCAATTTCCTCCTCTGTAAAACTGAAGCTGCTATTGCGTAAAGCAACAAATCGTCTGTGGGTGGAGCACGCTGCCTAATTCTGCTCCATGCAGATTTCCCAATACCTGCTCTGATTGCTGCTTGATCTGCCCACATCACTTCCCATAGGCAAAGAGTTTGTTCAAATGTCAACTCCCTTCTAAACAATACCACCACCATCCTATACACAAAAAAGCAATCCTCTGCCTGGAGCTTCTGCAAATGCCTAAACAGGTGGCCATCCTTGAACTTGATAATTTTTGCAACTATATCAAGTTGCCTCCTAATACCCACCTCATCAAGCCTGAAATTCTGCCGAGCCTTCTTCATGAATCCAACAAAACACCAGAAAGCCTCGTGATCTTCTGGTATAACACTAACTATAGGAGATAGCAGATCACTCATACCCTGGCAGTAGCCAATTTCAGGGTCATATAAAGCATATGCTTCAAGAATAGCAACTAGTCGAGCAGCATGAAAGATTCTGCTGGCATCTAGGTGACTATAATCCTTCAAGCCAACAGCCTCAGCAGATCGATGTGCTCTACTGTCAGGTACAACAGCTTGAGAAGGGGAGTATGGCATCCATTCTGCGTTGGCACGTACAGCATCGAGTCGGATGATCCTTTGCCATGTGGCAAAATCTTCATTACTCCATAGCTTTGATGGGACTTTCATTAAGGAGGGAGAAGAATTTTCCTTGGGGGTCTTGGAATTGTTCTCTTCCTGACCATCATCAGAAGGAAATGTCTGAATTATCTCAGGACCTTCTGAGGAGTCTGAATCAGTAGAATCAGTATCCAGTGCGGAGGCATCAGCATTGCTGATGTTTGGAACATCATCTCCTTCCAACAGGGCACTAGATGGATCATCTGATTCAACATCTGGGCTCCGATCCTCACTAGAAAGTGATTCCCTGGCACTTGTTGCATCTTCAGAACTAGGAGAGCCATAATCTTGAATAAAACTCCCACCATCTCCTTCATAACTGATTTCACCTATCTCATTTAACTTAAAGCTTCCATTGCTGTGCTTTAGCAGTTGCCTGCATTGTCTGCGTAGTTTCTCATACTCCTTTCTGCATTTAAAAGATGAAGCATAAAATTAACATTATCTAAAAAATTAACAAACAGAAAAGGAAACTACACACAAGATAAAGATTTAAATGCTGGAATAACATTATGGATTGAGCAAGAATTTTGTATATGCTTACCTATTTTGAGTTTTAATACCATCTCTTTTTTCTTTGGTACTTTCCAAGTCATAGCTGTACAATTGAATATGTAATCAGTAACCATAGAACAGATTGTATACATAAATGAATACATGTAGAAAAGAATGGAAAAAAGTTCAAATGATATAAATAAGGGAGAAGGTAACCAATAACCTACTAATATATGACATCAAGCAAAGAATCAAATTTGGGCTATTATAAATGAGAGATGATTAAGGTTTTTCCCAACCAAGTAATCATTATGAAACATAAAAGATAGCATGCTTACACTCCAAGTAGGAATGGCCAAACTTCAGCTCTGATACTAGGATCAACACCCTGCATTTTATAATGAAATCAATTTCACAGAAAAACACCAAATCAACAAATTTTAAATCTATATAAGCAGATTAGTAAACTCACTCCACTGCGAACTCTTTTCAAGAACTTAATTCCACCATCCCGTATTCTTCCATCTTGGGTAAACAAGTTTTTCCATTGCTGAGGTGAAAGGACATGTTTTCTTTTCCTGCGTGACCATGGTGATTTAAGACGGCCCCTGAAATTTTACCAAAAGGAATTACTGAACACTACTGCTTGTATGTCAATTTTAGAATAGATAATAGACAGCAATCAATCATTTTACAAATAAAGAAAGAAGACACCTATCAGTTAAGAAATTTAGGGAAGAGATAAGGTACAGAAAAAATATATATTCTTCCAGATTAGAAGCAAATCACAGTGCTGCAGTATAACAGATACTTTTTTCAAGCCATTGCGGCTTCCTTCTTTCTCCATGGAAAAAAATTAAGCAAGTGTATCCAGGTTTTAGTAATTTAAACTAGAAAACTATGTGCATGACATTCTGTCACAAATTTCATACATTTTCATTTCATTACTGCTTAGGGATTCCAGAGTAAAATGTAGAACTAACTTATTTGCTTCCTGCCAAAACAATTAAATGCATTCAGTACTAGAAGCCATCAATTTCATAATTAATAACTTATTACTACAATATACAGAAATAAATTTACAATTGAAACTGAATTATATCAAGTTTGAGAAATTCCAATATTACATATTTGTTGCTTTCTGTACTGCTAAATTTAAACAACACAGCCTTAGAAAATTAAAACAGTTGATTTCGAATTCCAATGAGATTACAGCATCACCATTGCCTGTTTCAATGTTTAACCTCAGTATTGAAGAAGTGAGAATTTAAGGGCATGCAATTTAAAAATAAATAAATAAATGAAGAGGACAAATAAAACCAAATTTGTCTTTAAAAACTTGAACACATTGACACCCCTCAGACAATATATCTAGATTAAAGCTTGAAATTGAAATACTTAATGCAGCAGGTTGATTGACAAACGACAAAAATTTAATTAGGGTTGGAAAATAAATATTTTCAGTCTCCAAATGAACACACTCACTAAACATACTCTAGCACAGATCTCCTTTTATAGCTCGGGAAGAAACAAACAAGACAAACAGGGGTTTTGATAACCAATCAAGATCACCATTAAGTAACGTTTTCCCTAAGCTCGGGTGGTGTCTCCACACGCCATTGATTTGACATGAGAAAAGGAATAAGAGGACAAAAAGTTCAAGGCAAGAGGGAAGGAACTTCAGATTAAAGAAATCTCCACCAAAACCGAAAGAGAGATCTGTCTCCCTCTCACAACCTCGTCCCCCTCAACTCCCCCTCTCATTTCACAGACAAATCAGGAATTTCATTTCATTAACTTTCAAAAAAACATTGTTTGCAATTCCACCAAATCAACGATTCAAGCAGCGAAACACACAATCAGACCGAAATGCTGCGGAACAAAGAGAACCAAAACAGAAACACGGAAGCGCGAAGCACAAAAACGCAACACACACAAGCCGATCAACCTAAGCGGACACTGATAGCAACACTGTGGATGCGCAGAAGTGGAGATCTGGCACGAAATAAACACAAAAGTAACAAAAATCTCAGCGCTGAATAAAAAAGCTCAAAAAAAAAAAAATGAAGCGAGAGCAAGAGAGTGGAAGAAGAACTCACCGATCAGAGGACGAACAAGAAGCTGGTGAGGAAGAAGTGACAACGAATAGAACCGATCGCAGATGGATCCACGACGAGGAGGACGACGACGACGACGATTGCGACGAAGACGACGAGGGAGAGGAATTCGAAGACGACGAAGAAGTATTGTGACTTCGTCTAAGGGGATTCATCTATAACTTCCTTCTATATACACTTTTTGTTTTCCTTTTCAGTGTAACAAAATCGGAACCGTGAACAGTATCCAGTAGCTAGGGTTTTCGCGTTTGCGATTGCGATGCTCTCTCTAATTCCTTCATTCGAGAGAGGTCTTAGGTTTTTACCTAGTGGCGCCGTAGACGAAGACGGCGAGGAGAAGAAGGCCGGCGATGGCAGTGAAGAGCGGCGGCGGAGTGAGCGTGGGCGCGGCCATAACGGAGAAGGTGGCTCGGCCGGCGCCGGAGACGAAGGGAGTGACGTGGTTGGTGGTGAAGTGAGTGGATGTGAGCATGGGGAGTGAAATTACGAGAATGCCCTTTGTGTGATCCCTGTTTGGGTGTTCCTGAATTTGAGAGTGGAGAGAGAGTGGAAGGAAGAAAAAGAGAGAAAGAATTGAAGAGTGAAAGAGGAGAACGAAACCAAAGCAGAATCTAATCTACATGCTTTGGGCATTTTGCTTTCATAGCGGAGGGAAGTGCGAAACGCTGTCGTTTCTTTCTCTCCTTATCACATCATTCAAACTAACTAACTAATCTCAATCTTCCTAGCTACTACAGCCGGAGGTTTCAATTAATTAATAATGGCAAATTATGCCAACAAGATTATCTCCTCTTTCCTCCATTAATTAATGAATTGCCTTCTAATCTAATCTAATCATCGCCTCACACCCTTTATTTCCCATTAAATGCTGCATACCCATACCTACACTACACTACACATCCCTAATGTAATTTCTTTCACCCTTTGCAAAACTTCTTCTTTTTAAATTTAGTAATCATACATCATAAGTCACTTAACAATTAGCAAAAAATTTATTATGTATGATAATTTGTGGCTGAATAATTTTTTTTTTTACAAAATGGTTTAGATGAGTTAAGTTATGAATTATGATAGAACAAATCTCAAGATTCTGAAATGGTTTATAAAAATATTACAATAAAATTATTGTAATCACGTAATAAAGAGTATTAAAATAAAATAAGATTTGTCCATTAGAAAATTGTTATGGTTATTGTCTCGTTGATAAGAGGAATTAGTGGTTTGAATGGGATTTTACTTTCAAAACTTCAACGATGATGGCTACTGTAAACAAATGAGAATGTGTTACTTATAAATTTGTTTTCGTATGAAATGGGTACAAAAGAATTATGTAATATTTTATGTAACAAACAGAATCGCATGACAACAATCAAATTAAGATTAATCGTGGTAATTCAAGTTTCGGCCTCAAGTCACATGTTCTTGGTTTTTTTAATTGCACACTATAACCAATCCTGCTTAAAATATTACCAAAGCATGTGACGCTAAATATTTCTATATAATGAGGTTTTTTTACATAATTTGAATTGAAAGTTTATATATGCATTGCATGTTATTGAATTTTACGAAAATCATAAATATTTTAAAGAAAATCGTAACTATTATATTGATTAAATTAATTTTAAAGAAAATGTTTAATTTTTTCGCGCATTATAGGTATAATTTTCAACTTGTAAATTGCATTTTTCATTTAAAATTTAGTATTTATATATATATATATATATATATATATATATATAATACTCTTTAAATTAACCTATTAAATTGAGTGTAAATATGGGCCGAGACATTTATCCTTAAAAAAAGAAAAAAGGAGATGAGTGCATATATAATTTTTTTTCTTATTCACACG